CAGCCATAGTGATACCAGTGACGGCAATGTAAGGTCCAGTTACTCCAGTTTTGTTATAGAATGGATCAAACCACCAAGATGGGAAGAAAAACATTCTGTATACTGGAGCCTCAACTTGTAATTTTTGATAATCTGCAGGGAAATTTACCAAATCACGCTGCGGATTTTTGTCATCATCAATAGTTGGCATATTTTCAGCGAAATTGACTCCCAGAATTTCAGCCATGTTGACACCTTTTGGAATTTCTTTTACAGTCTCCCCAGGCTTTGCATTAGGAGGTGCTAAGTTAGGTATTAGAGGGTATGCAGGACAGCAATCATCGCGAGTTACTCTAACTTCTCTGCCGTCAACAATAACTGGAATATCCTCGTAATTGTCCAAAACTGTGGGGTAAATCTTTTCCTGAGTACTAGGAGTGAGATGAGATTTAAATGGAGTGACTTCACTTTCAACATCGACCTCCTTGAGCTCATTACCAAAAACACCAATAGTTTTAGTAGTCAAGCCTCTAATGCTGTTGAATGTCTGTTGACTCAATCCAGTTTTAGATGCCTTAGCTAGCGCTGAGCCTATGAAAAATAAAAAATAAATGAAAATGAAATTTCTCCAAATCAAAATATTTGTTGACATTGAGTAACATTAGCAAAATAGGTGAACATTGTAAAGTAACTGTTAAAGTACAATAATCACTTGATAATAAAAACTTACCGGAGGCAAAAGCAAATCGGACAAACATTTTACTCGGGTGACACAATGAACCGAACGAAAAAAAATCAATTAAACACTGCAATTAATTTAATTAACCAGATTTTTCTTCTGAACCTGATTTCACCTTTAGATCGGCTGGTGAAACTTGGCAAAACTTGAACAACAGATGGCAGCAGATTCAATATAACTGACATCTCGCGAATACAATGCAAACTCACTTCAGCGGTAAACACAAAATGTGGTTCGTTAGAATTAGTTTGGTGGTAAAAATTCGCTTCCATGATTGTACAGAAGGCCATCAAAGTTTCAACTTTGGACTCGTTTCTCTCAAATACTGTTCATAAGAGAAATCTTTAAATCGCACAAATGGATTCACTTCACATTTTCCATCAAACAAAAAGAGTCTAAATTTGAAAAGAAATTAAACTTCACCTGTTTATGCCCATTTAATGCAGAAATGTGGTAACTGTGTCTTTTTATAACAACCGTTTTCGATTTATAATTTTTATTACGGAATCGTTTATTAATGATTTATTTTGTATTCAGCGATAACTAAACTTCAAGTCCCTAGTTACTCAGCCATATAAAGTCATGTATTATCGAGTATGGATATAACATTGAAAAATTGTCAATGCAATGAATCCTTTTTCATGAGATTAGTTTTATCAATAAAAGAGACAAATTTTTTTAACAATTGAATTAAAGCACTTGTTTAATTTTTCTTAAAATTGTTTTACAGTGAATAAGGTGCTTACAATAACAACAAACTGGCTAATCAGTTTTTTCAACAGTGCATAATTTATTTCATTTGGACCACTCATTTGGGTTTTTGTTTAATTCATTCCTAGTGTTTAATACAGCTTAAAGTCTCCTTTTGTTTAACCCATCTTACAAATCACTAATTGTCTTTGAATGTTTCCTTCGAAATTGGAATAATAACGAGCAAAATGTATACAGAGTCCATTTAGCAGGTCAATCATTGAATTAAAAATCAACATTACAGGGTAACAACAGAAACGAAAAAAAATATTCAAAAAAAGGTTAATGTTAATACAGTCAACAAATTTTTAACTTTTACATAAACATTGCATAAAATTTGCTCTTTGTACACAACTCAATCGTAAATTTGTAACATAAAAAGAAAATGATTGAGATTTGATTGTCAAAAGAATTATTAATAACAGATGATTGAAACTAAAGATGATCCACAAAATTTGGCGAATGAAGAAAAGAAGGAGATCCAATGGGAAGAGAAAAAACAAAACATTGAAATCCGTGGATGGTGACAATTATGGCGATCAATGGACATAACTCTTGGAGGTTGATGACCAATGGATTGAATAACATCAATTGTGAGACAATTGGTTTTGTAAATCAACAATAAGCAGTGAAACAGGATCAATAGAGTTGAAATGAAGACAGCCTAAGCCAAAAAATGAAAATGCGTTAAAACACAGTTACAATCACCTTATAAATGTTAATATATGTGTAAGTGTTTCCAGCAATGCTAAGACTTTTTGATGCTCTCTTTCCAGTTTCGACGGTTAATCACAATGAGCAAGAAAAAGAGTGATGATTAGGTGGATTGGTTTCAAATTAAATTAACCCTGTTTGTGGTGTAATTGATGGTAAGGAAGAGAAAAGATCTGAAGAAGAAGGCACAAGGTTTTCCTTAAACGTTAACAATTAATTGGTGGATATCAACATTGACAGTTTGTTAATTAAAACAGCATTTCAAGTAATAAGATGAAGGTGATTTCAATGGGATCAGGAGCAGGCAAGTGTTTTACAGTGTATAATCAATATAAATATAACAACAATGCATATCTTTTTGTTTCTCCATGTGAAGTGTAAATTAATTGAGTACAAGTATAAATCAGTTCTCAATCTTAATAAAGTGTTAAGGCTAAGTGTGTGTGTGTGTAATAACAGCATGAATAAGGTGATTGATTGTGTTGTTTTTTGGTTACGATTACAT